CTACACAGAACTTGGGAAAGGCAGCGACAAGCATTCCCTAAATAATTTTTAATCACACTCGCACAAACCTCATATGATCCGTACCTAGAGGCTTTTCTCATAGAATGAGAGCATTATAATTGACCATGGAATAATGGTCAACTCGAAACTGCTCTCTCCTTCAATTTCCCATCTGCTTTTATTCCGAATTTCGATTCTATCGAGAATTATTCTCTCAGCCTGCTTCATTTCATTGGGCCATTAGCAGTTGACAGACACTCCGACGAGCCAAAATAAAGAAATCGGGTCTACTTTGTGGCAGGAATTCTTGCTAACTTGTGACGTTGTATTTTATCAGTATCACATCTATCTTTTCGAACGCATACTGCTTTGCTGCAAAGATGCGAATCTCAACAAACAAAAGACCAAGCTTATGAGCAAAGACAAACCAAATGCTGCTCCGAAAGGAAAGCCACGGCTTCAATTAAAGGGCAGAATATACATGGCCAATGTTACGGAAATCCTGTCCCTGCATAAGCCTGGTTAGTCCGCTGCTCTCTTTACTTATTTTCTGCGTATTTTGTTGTATAACTTGCTAAGACAATCCAACTTTTAGGGTCATACAAAATCCAAATATTCTGGAAGGGTGATCCCGGCGTTGTTGACAACTTTGTTATCCGGTACCAAAATGAGGATACCATGCGCAAATGGTACAAGGACATTGACACACAACGAGCTATTCAAACTGAAGAACGGGCGACAAGACACACGGGGACATCTGAAACAGAATTCACCTATCTCAAGATGGGCCCTAAAATTCAAAACCCTTATCGGGAGGAGTACGAGGCAGAGGAAGAGCTGGTCCGGGAGGGTAATACTTTTTCGGAATTTTCAGTATCCCGGAATGCTTCAAGTACAAGCTTGCGAGCGCGATCTGCCACGGGAGGAAGTGGTAGCTCTGGTCCAATCTCAAGTCGGCCTCCACCTCCACGATTTCCGATGCCAGAACCGCCTCTTTCGGTGTCCACCCAATTTGCTAACGGGGCAATATCCCCCGGGGACCGGAATGGAAATTCGTATTTTTCTCCAGTCACAGACCCTACTTCCTCGCGATCAAGTCAGTCGACTATGTTTGCGTACTCCCGCCAAGGCACGCCCTCAACTCCATGGATCGAGGACTCCAATCGGTACACGGCCCCTGCCATGCCAAGAGCCGCGTCCAGAGATGGGGCTACGTCGAATCCATACTTCAGCAACAGTAATCAACGGGGCGCCCAGCGCCCCTCGCTCCCTCCCCTCTCTTCTTCCCACCATGGCCAATCTAGTGGGATGTCACAAGCCCGAATGCGGTCTGCAAGCAGTCCTGACATCCACCACAACCCCAATATACCAGACTCCCGCCGTCATGTTAATGGACATTCTATGCAGACGGTTGATAACGTGCCTGTTCCCCCTATCCCTGCGCACATGGCGAGTATGAGAGCACCAGTCAATCGCAGCCAAAACAATTCCCCAATAAATAACACTCTCCCCGTTAGGACTGCCACCCAGTCACCGGGCATTCAGCAACGCCATGGACTCCCCCCTAACCCTTTTCCCGAGCCCCAGCTTTCTGGTCGGATCGAGTCCCGCTCGCAGCCAGCGCCCACATCGAATCCAATGCAATCCGGCCTTTCCTCCCCTGTGAATCAGGAGGCTGAACAGGAACTCTATATGCCCAGCCAACTGAAAGCCAAAGTTAACTTTGATGACAATTATGTCACTTTGGTGATCGCAAGTAACATACTTTTCCGGTCTCTAACAGATCGCGTGGACGCAAAGCTCGCCCGATTCACCGACCGGTCCATTGGGAATAAATCCGTGAGACTGCGGTATAGGGATGAGGACGGTGACTTTGTCACGATAGATAGCGATGAAGCCGTTCAACTTGCTTTTATGGAATGGCGCGACCAGCACCAAAACATGTTGGCCAATGGTCAGGTTGGAGAAATTCAACTCTTTTGCCAACCCGTCGAAAACTGAGATTGGTCTATCACTCCATGGACTCAGATATTGTGCAATAATTGAGGATGATCTACTTTTTTTTTAGATCCGTATACCTGTTGAATTTACTGCGCTACTGCCTTTTGTTGTCCCTTTTATTTTCATTTTCTCGATCTACGCATCCCATGGTAGTTTTTGGCGCCGATGACACGTTTGCTTCCAAATTTATATTCACTAGGATTGGCTTAAGAAGCATAGCTTCCTTGGTTGTCGTTTTTCAATACTTGATTCCCCCTCTCCGACCTCCCCCCTTCCAAGGGCACAACGTCCTACACGGCTGTCAGACATCCACCGATCTTCAAATGGCCAAACTCGGAGGAGTTTTTCTGAAATACGCTTGACACATATCTTTGCATTTTTCTTTTGATTATCGGGCGGAACACTGAGAAACGAACAGGCTAGCGAAAGTTGAAATACATGGTTAGCATTTTACTCTTAAGGATGCCCATGCTAGTCACCGATGCGCCGCTGCTTTCCGCTCCCAATCAACTTTTTTCTTTACCCGGAACAACCGCATTATTTGGCAAGAGACGATGTAATCAGTTTGTGGTTTGAATTCCTTTCTTTCATTATTATTATCATCAAGAAATGACCCCGTATGATTGAACGTACATTACCCTATGTAGATGTTGAGTTTTACCTTGTTTTCCACGCCACGACTTAAGCGAGGGCGTCAAGATTTTTCTCACTCGCCTGCTACGCTCGCGCAGGCATCTTACCTCTTGAGCTATATCTTAACTATCTATATCTTGCTTCACATACACTTCACACACACTTCATATTTGACTCCTCTTCTTTCTATTCTATTTGCCTTGGTTTTATTTGCGCTTGGTTTTACTTCCGTACCGGACCTCACCACTACTATGGACTTGGTGGGTTTCCGTGGAGCAGGTAGTTGCTGTGTAACGCTAACAACGGTACGGGTGTGGGTTGTCAAATAACGCCGGATGTATCAACTGTGCCATGCTGTAGCCTTCTTTGCCAAATCTTCCCAGAATGGGAGACAAGCAAATTTCTGCAAGGACATAGATGTGGTTATACTGAAATGCCCCTCCTATTCAGACTCTCAGAGTGATAGAACTGTTACACTTGACAAATCGAAGTGGAAATTAAAAAGTATATTTTTTCCCAACAAAGCCTCATCATTTCATTCGTGCTATTAATAATGTATAGTGGGCCATGTCACAACCTCAACTGCCCGCTGCACGACGGGCGCGATCCAACATGACCCCTCAGACTCCGACTTGTTGTCTCACAGCCAGTCAGATTGCAGAGCAGATTTCACGCATGAATTAGTGAGGCATTTAACTGACAATGGCATTCTGAGCCCTTCGAGATAGCCGTCGTGACTGGAAAAACGTTCCCACCTGGCTCTCGCTCTACCACTACTACTCGATAGAAACATAGAGAAAAGAACAGTTATCTATACAGATTTTACATATCTTAGAGTATTTTAGATCTCTTAGGGGTCCCCCAAAATGAGCTTCTCAGGCCGTCGTCTCTCCATCCTGAGCCCCTCCTCCCAAGCCCGCCGCTTCTCTGCTAGCAAAGAACTCTCACAGAACGGTTTGTTTTATACCACCACCCTCGTAGCAAGATTTAATTTTAATTTTAATTTTTTAATTTTTTTTGTGAAAAATAAAAATCGACATGTGTACTGGTTAAAGTCGATAATATCTTCAAAATGCATCGTCCTTGATTTGCTTACCCCTTTCAAACATATTAAAATCATCAACCGCAGAGAAGACTTCCGAAACCCATCGTCAGTTCCGTGATGCGCACGAAGGCCACCGTCCTCACGCCGGGCTCGACGCTACTCGCGCTTCAACCGGCGTCGTGTGGACGACCGAAAGGGCTTCCGAACATGGGTTTCTTGAAAACCCTTCGCTATGGGCAAATCTCGGACAGGGCGCTCCTGAAGCCGATGATGATATCGCAGGCAGCTTTCCCCGCCCCACTTCGATCCCCATAAGCTCCGCGTCCCGCGAGTACGGCCCTACTGCCGGTATCAAGCCTCTCCGTGATGCGGTGGCGAGGTTATACAATGAACATTATCGGCAGGGGAAGCAAGGCTATACCTGGGAAAATGTGTGCATTGTACCTGGTGGAAGAGCAGGGTTGATTCGTATTGCCGCAATATTGGGCAATGCGTATCTATCGTTCCCAATCCCAGACTACTCGGCGTATTCGGAGATGTTGTCTTTGTTTAAGAATGTAAGACCTCAGCCGCCAAGTTTGGATTTATATGTGTGTTGATGTGTAGAATGTGAATAGTTCGCGGCAGTTCCAATGCCCTTATCGGCTGCGGACGGATATCACATCCACACTGATAAGGTTGCCGAAGAAATTGCTCGAGGGACTTCGGTCTTGTTAACATCGAACCCCAGGAACCCAACGGGTCATGTCATCAACAATCCGGAGCTGGCCAAAATACAGGATATCTGTCGTGGGAGAGCAACGCTTATCCTGGACGAGTTCTACGCTGGATATAATTACAGCACTGGTTGTGATGGCTCGACTACTAGTGGAGCGATGAACGTCGAAGACGTCGACACAGACGGCAAGTTTTATTAGGCATCCTTTACTACCACCTCTTTAAGATCAGGTTCTTGTTTGAGCTAACCAAAACTGAATAGACGTTCTCATCCTCGATGGTCTGACCAAACGCTTCCGCCTCCCCGGCTGGCGAATCGCTTGGATCTTGGGACCTAAGGAATTCATCGAAGCCCTTGCCTCCGCTGGCTCCTACCTGGATGGGGGCGCCAACGTCCCGTTTCAAGAGGCGGCAATCCCCATGCTGGAACCCTCTCTCGTCCGCATGGAGATGAAAGCACTGCAAGTCCATTTCCGCGAGAAGCGAGATTATGTGATTGGTCGGCTGGGGCAAATTGGCTTCCAGATCACTGACGTTCCAGATGCAACGTTTTATATCTGGCTGGACCTTACTGCGCTTGAGCCCCCTCTCCCGGCTTCTGCGAATATCTCAGACGGTCTGAACTTTTTCAACGCTCTACTGACGGAGAAGGTGATTGTTGTTCCTGGGATATTTTTTGATCTGAATCCAGCGAAGAGGCGGGATTTGTTCGACAGTCCCTGCCACCATTTTGTCAGGCTGAGCTACGGGCCGAACATGGACGTGCTGAAACGAGGGTTGGACGGCATTGAGAGGGTTATTCGCCGGGTCAGGGGTGAGGTCATCGCTGACGATCTAGAGGACGAAGTTGCTGTTCAGGATTAAAATCTCGCAATCTGCTTCGTGACAGAAGTTCGTTTTTGCTGATGCCTATTAGAGCGGCACGACCCTGTTCGTATTTTTTTTTTCAATTTCAGGGTCCCAAACAGTTGGGCCAAGCGCCCACTCTATTGCGCTTCACTATAATAAAGGGCGTTTTCGCAGTTACCATGAATCACAGTTTGGTTTAGTTCAACGTCTTTTTATCAGAACAAGAAGGCCTCATTTAAAGCGCCTTACAGGGAGGAAGTTCAGAAGAACTGGTGTAAAGAACGGGAGTACTAGCATAGTGCCTGCCTCAGGAATGCACATTGTAAGGCCTCCTCACGCTGTTTGTCGACCTTAAAGCTGTGCATTGATATCATCTCGAGGTCTCTATATCTACTCGTACCCAAACATCCTTCAATAGTAAACTGACAAGTGTAAACACGTGAGCCCGCTTAAACCTAACCTGCTGTTCCTGGCCGGGTGTGTCACGTGAAAGCGTGCTCTTAACTAGGTAACTATCCATCAAACGATGGGCGTCACCACCCTAACTAATGCTGCGTCTTCTATTGCTCAGGGACATTGCACAACCTTCTCTCCCCACGCCCATGCATTATCCTGCTGTGAGGACGTAGTCACCATGCCGACGAAGACGCGGTTATTCCGCGTCTTTTACACAACCCTTTTTACTGTTCTTGCCATTATCTTTTTGATCTTAACTCTCCTAACCCCTGCTGATACCATCTACCAGTCCTCCAAGACCCACCGCCTGGGTAATGTTTTCATTGTCAGCGGTGTTTATATAATAACCCTGCTTTTGGCTATATTGATATATGCCAGCCGCATCTTTACTAACCGCAGTGTCCTTGCGGGTATTCCCAAACCATGGATTCCAGTTGAGAAGCCTGATGTTCCAAAGAGTGTGCGAAGACTCGTTGTGGAGGGTCTGTCGAGGAGTGCCATCATTGCCCAGCAAGCACGGCCGAGAGACAGGACTGGGGAAGACAATAGCAAGTTGGATCCTAGCTTGACCATCCCTACCACAAGACCACCGCCATGGGGTGATATCTCACACCCTGGCTGGACTGCCCCTGGTTGCCCCGATATGCCCGACCAAGAATTCGAGCCGGTGATTAAGGAACTCCCGCACCTCATAGAGGCAAAGGCAGTATCTCTTGCCCCCGTGGACCCTCGTCTTCCAGTCTTCGACAACCGAGACGCAGATCAGACTGGCGAAAATCAACCAATTCCGGATGAACGTATTGTCGAAATCCTCCGAAGGCCTCATAACATGCCCCTACGTGACTACATAAACCATCTAACACATCTTAATCTCATCAACCCCGTAGACCTTGGCCGGTCATTTGTTCGCCTCTACGAGCGCGGCAGATTCGCCGACGCGCCGTTGACTGAGCAGGAATTCAGATCATTGCTAAGCATGTTTGCTGAACTCCTAAGGGGGATGTCAGAACTCGATCCGGAGATCATTGCAGAAATCCAGTCTGAAAGTTCCACGGACGGTGGTATGGAGCCGTTTAGTGGCGAATCAAGCGGCGTTCACATCACCAACAGCGTTCCCGCCAGTTCTAGTGCGTCGTTCGCGTCCAGCAATCGATCAGGCACTAGTAGTCAGTGCAGCCGCTTTCATCCCTCCAGCACTCCCAAGAGTGGCTCTTTCATCCTTGATAGGTCCGGTGACAGACAAAGCTTACGTGCTCGGGGCAGTCGAACGCCATCTGCGTATTCCTTGCCAGCTTTGGCATCGAACCTTTCTGCCGCTAGTTCGGCAGGGAGTATCATTCACCGCACGTCATCGCAGATGTCTTGAGCGACTCCTGCTGGTGTGTGTGCCGCCGGAAGGCCGAAGAGCGTTGAACAGCGGTGATTCCGGGACTGTTGTTTTCTCCTTCCCACCCCCTTTCCTCCCATTGTATGAGTATATAATTATTTTCTTTTCGATTTTTCTTATGTCTTCAGTTCTTACCTGAGCAAGGTGTTCTGGCTAATAATAAATGGGATCAATGGGACAATGATGTGTGGTTTTTTTTTCTCTACTTTTCATCCAATTCGCAAACAACATGTATTCTTTGTTTGCCTGGGTTTGTTCTCTTGGTTTTCTGTATGCCCTGGGGGTCTGCGTGGGGATATTTCGTTGTTGATATTTTCTTCTTCCATTTAAGGCGTTGGGTTTTGTAGGAATATTTTATAATCAGTCCATGCCGATTGGAAGTTGATATTTGAGTCAAAAGCGGTCCATTTACGGCTCCTGGCCCTCTTCTTCTAGGACACCGGGCAAGATCAGCTGTCCCCACAGGCATCATATTGCTATGAATATTAGCTGGCCAATTACAATAACCAGTCAATCAGACAGACATTCTAACTTTGGGGTGGATGTTGAAAGAGATACTGGGGAACTTCGCCCACATGTACATGTACATGTACAGTACATAAACACAGTGTCCATACATATAAGTGCTCCTCTTTCAAGCCAGCAAAATGGATCATACTAATTTATCCTCCACCTCATTTCCATTTAACCAAATTCTCCGCTTGTTCCTCATATCCCATATGCTGTGGGAGCAAACCCTCGCTGCGGCCCTCCACTCCCCGTCTCGTTGTTCTCCACGCGCTGTCACCAGGCAAGGGTTCCATATCGAAAGCGTCCAGTGCAGCACCCCTTATCTTCCCCTCCTTCAACGTCTTCAGCAGCGCTTTCCCCCCAATCAACGGACCGCGTGACGTATTTACCAAGAGCGCCGTGGGCTCATAACACCCAACTCCTCCTCCCGTTTATGATAGCATGTAATGCACACTCAGAACATCCGCCTCCCTAAACAACTCCAGCTTACTCGAGACAACCTCAAAGGCGCCTGCCGGTAAACCCAATGCCGCAGCCTTCTCATCCGCCATGTCCTGCGTGAGATTACTCGACCACGCGACGACTCGCATGCCGAACGCCAATGCTCCGATCTTTTCAGTCGCCGTCCCGAGCGACCCGAGCGACCCGAGCGTCTTCCTCTCCAACCCCGCCGCAAAACTCCCCTGCCACCCGCCGCTCTTCACCACCGCATCATCCCGCGCGATATTCCGCGCCATGCCCAGGATCAATGCCCAGGTATGTTCCGTCGTTGAGCCGGTATGTGGTAAGGAGTCTAGCTTTTGCGAATGGGCTCCGAGACCTGTAGTCCCCGTAACCAGGATGCCCCACTCCGCACATGCCTGCTGGTCTATGGCGCGGTTGCAGTGGCCGGTGATAAGGAGGTATTTGAGGTTGGGGAGGGGGGAGATGACCTCTGCAGAGAACGGAGTCCGTTCGAGCATTGTGGAGATTATGTGATATGGTTTTAGCCGGCTGATGAGAGCTGCTTTGTCGCCATCATTGTGGCTTGGGTGCAGGGTCTCTGGGAACGAGGTTATGGATGTGAGATGGAGTTTCAGGTGGGAGAATTTGGCGGTAGCGATGTTTTGGTAGTCATCGAGGATGGCGAGGTTGAGCGGGCTACTTGCTGGCATGGTTCCGTTTGACATTGATCACTTTTACTGGTATCTTAAAGCAGATCGCGCGACCGATGCGAAGAGTAAGAGGCGGGGTTTGGGGTGAATGGTTTATCAGGCATTGAACGGTCTGGTATCATCGTCCATCCTAGCCGCACTAGAGTCCAGGAATCAGGTCGAAGAATTTGGCCTAAGCCGGCATACTGCAGGGCTTTGGCGACTTATATAGGAATATGATTTCGAAATAAATGTTATTAGCCCCTGAATATATGGATATATAGTGCTAGTTTGGATGGCTAAGGCGCCCAAAACTTCTTAGAATAAAATACCCGAAAGTCTCGCAATAGATTTCATCATGTAAAGTAGATAGAATAGCCCGAAATATTAAAAAGAATAAAAAATAAAAGAAAGCCAATAAACCGATTCTCACCCTGCCAGGAAATCACCAGCTCACCAGGCCCTTCTCACGATCAAACCCGCCTCTCAGCTGGCTCTCTGGCTTGATAACCTTCCCCTTCAGAACCGTAAACTTCACAATCCCCTCGCAATCTTCCGGCCTAACCCTCGCAAGCCAGATCCCCTGCGTAGCCCCTTCTTCACCACGCGCTGCTCTGCCCGCTTCCGCAGCAGCGTCCGCGGAGTCGATATTTCTCCGCCGGTACACAATCACATTCGCGGAGTACTTGTGGCCGCCAACATGGCTTATGAAATATATGCCTACCCCACCAGGGCGTTCGTCGTTGAGATCCCTATATAATCCAAGGGGCCGTAGGTGCCTTTCAAACTCTCGCCGGAGCAAGGGAGCAGATTGGCCGCAACGAGCGTCGCGGGTCCGCTGTGAACAGAGGAGAATCACGGCAGAGTGCCCACAGGGGCGGGAGCGGAGAGGGGTTAGGGCTGTATAGCCGACGGAGGAGTTAGGGACCGTCTCCGTCTGGGATGAAAGAGGCGTGGCAGGAGTTGAATTGTCAGACTCTGGGTCTGGGGTGCGTGTCTTTGTAGTTGGCAATGAGGTATTATTTAGGGGGGAAGTGGTGGTCAGAGAGTGGCTGACGAAATATGTGATCAGGTCTGAAGCGAGGGCAGGGGTGACGTGATCGACAAATGTGAAAGCTGGGAGGATGAGAGCGGTGGTGGGTTGTTTCCCAACCTCATGATGGTGATACTCATCCGGGACGGGCATGTTCGAAGCAGACAGCTTCATGGGCTATATATATTGTCCACAAATACAGTTAGCATGATCCACTGGGCAAATCTTTTTGACGAGCCAAAAAATGAAAATGAAAACGAAAATGGATTCCAGCTCTCATTACGCAACAACCAAAAGAAAAAACATCACGTACCCCATTGCTAGGTTCCAGGCCCCCTTTCTCAATCGCTTCCATGACGCTTCCCTCCTCGTCGGTCACATCCCTCACCCAGTCCGTCTTGCCCGTCGCAATGAGCAAGTGGGTGGCCCATCCTTTGACATGGCCGTATAATTTATCTTGAGTGTCAATGTCAAATTTGGCAGGGTATCGGATTGTGCAGCTAGCACAGTCGCGGTCGCAGTCTTCCCCGTCAACTACTGGGTTGACTTTGGTAAAGAGAGTATGTTCTGATGCGGTGGTACACGTCGTTTCGCTGTCCGCTGCTGGGCTGCTTGTCCCTGGTGTGAGAATCGCAGCCCCGCGACGAAGCAGAGCTTGCATCTTTTCAAAGTTGGTATTCCGACAGCGCCGCGATATCTTCTACCCTCCGTATACTTTCAAATTATTTTTTATATGTATATGGAGCAGGAAATGACGTTGCTGGTATTGTGCGGTTTTTCCAAGCCGGGAGAGTTTGAGGGCAGGTTATCAGATCCCTTTAATCAATCTTATCTGATTATGCCAAGACACCGGAAATATTCCGTGGCTGAGATTTGTCAGCGTGGATATCAAAAGTTCCAAATGAGGAAACATAAGAAGGCCTCGGGTTCCTCAAGATCGATTCCACCCCCCAATGCACAGGATTATATGTCGATTAAGTGGGAGATGGCTTTCATAGATTTGATGTCATGGTGACAGCATGCTTTAAACAAAGTTTCTAACGCGATTTAGCTGCGGAATCCATGGTATCAATCGAAACAAGCTCTCACAACACAAAAAGGCAAAAATAAATAAATAAAAAAGAATTGGGCCACCGATGAAGTTATTTTGAGTAGGTATTGCGCTATCTGATCAATTTCCTGTGCAACGGATTTGTAAGTTCTATCTTTCTTATATTTTGGATCTTCTTCTTCTTCTGCTGCTGCCGAGGTTTTCCTGAGCGATATTTCTCCGTGTGGATGTTCTCCAAAGTTTCACCCTCTACTATGTAAAAACCCCCTTGAGGAAAGAGTTCAAACTACTCAGGGTTAAACTTTCACTAGCCGGCTGCGGTAGTTATGGTATCTCTCGCCGACGGACGGCGCCCGGGAGCCGGGAAGCGCCCATGTGGCCAGCCATGCACCCGTCTCCACCGAACAAACATTTCACCCCACTCCGTTTCGGCCCGGTCCTCCTAACCCTCGGGCTGCTAGCACCGGAAATCCCCCCCTTTCTCTCACACGTCGTCGAACCATACCATACCATTGCCCATATGGACAGGCCAGGCAGACCTTTTTCCGAAGAAGCCGGGGGCTAACTAAAAATGCTTTTTTTTTTTTTCGCCGGGCGCCGCCCCGTTGAGAATTCGCCGATTCTTTATTTATTTATTTATATTTTTCTTTTTGGCCTCTTCACCAAAAACAAGAGCGCGCGAGAACTACGCTGTAGACATGTGCCGAACCCTCTCGCGATAGATCATTTGTACTATACGCACAGGTTAAACATACGGGTAAAATATGTTGTTGGTTCCCTGGATCACCGCGCGGGATCCCGATCCCCTTGCATCGGCTTATAAAGTTATAACTTAATCTGACCCAGATGCTGAGAGAGTTAAATTTGATCACGTTTGTGGATAAAATCCGGACTGTCTCCTACGGATTGGGGTGGTTTATGCTCATCTATAAAATCTCAATACCAAGGCAAGGGGGAAATTCAATGTTAATCAGTATTTATTTATTTATGTATTTTTCGTACTCAGACTTTCCTTTTCCTGTGCCAGTATTATTTCTGTTACATGTATGGGTGCTTAGCCAAATGCCCTTCCTTGAGTTTATCCGGCACCCTGGTCGTCAGGTTTCTTAATACTATATGGACATGTTGGGAACGTTGGTTACACGACATACCTGGGCGCTTTGTGACTGTGGGCAGAGGAAACGTGGGGTTGGTATGCACGTTCCCTAACAAGTATGCATATCTACATTTGCAACTTCCCCTCTTGAGGAAGATGGTCAGTACTTTAAGACAATGTACGCAAAGCAAGTATTGCGATGTTGACAGTTCAGGAGTGCAAAAGAAATGTTTACATATCTAGCTAAGGTGGTGGGTATCCACATACAATTACAACATTGAAAAGGGCGACGGGAAAAAAAGAAATAAAATTAAAAATAAAGAATGAACGAAAGGAGAAGGGGGAAAAAAAGCAAAAAAGGAGAAAGGGGTGAAGAAAAACAATGGCAAAAACGTAGAGCAGAAGTGAAAAGATAAGAAAACCGGAAGAGCAAGACCCCTAGAAACTAAATTATGTAACTTATTTTCTCACGCAGACCCTATTCATCGAGTAAGTACGTGGATACAACCTCATTCAGCCAATTGTTTTGGAATCGAAGTGTACTATTTAGTAATTACTTCCGTTAACCCCCATGTTTCGAGATAGGAAATGTAAGATAACATAAATTCTCGTTCAAGCTTTCACTTAGATGATGGAAATAGTTGATATGTGAGATCTCACAGAGGAAAAGAAAAAGGGGAAAGAAAAGAGTAGAAAATAAACGAGATTAAAAGTGACAGGTAAAAAAAACCAAAAAAGGAAGTAGTGAAAGTGAAAAAGAATAACTCAAGGGATATCAATATTAAAAAGGATGGCGCCCCAACACAAAATAGAACAGACAATTTTACTACAAACAAGAAGAAAAGAACAAAGGAGAAGAAAAAAGAAGAAAACAACCAGCCAAGAAAAGCCAGAAAGAACTCCAGTTGCCGAAAACGAGAGCGTCCGGGGGACGGATAGGGAGTGTTTCACCTTGTTGCTGTGTGTATATATGTTGCCTATATCATAAATCTTCATTCGATTGGCATTAGAATAAAGTAGAGTGGGAGTTTGGGAAGGATCATCAGTCCCCTCAAGTCCATAAGAGAGGATATAAACCGGACTCATGGCAAGCCGAGTTCCCGCCTCAATAAAATTTAAAAGGCGGAGCATTGAAAATTAGGGGCTGGAATATGTCCAAAACGAGGCCGTAGGGTAGGGGGCGTCGAATATTTGCATCGTTTGTGTATCTTCGTCTTTGGGTAGCCGTCAAATATGGAGTGTCTTTTTGGATAATAATCACCTTTAACCTTCCAAGCCTAGGAAATCCCAAGATCTTGGGTCTTGGTACGGGTTAAAAATGCGCGAAACCATGGGTTTATTCTCCATAGGGACTTCCTGGTGGAAAATTATCGGAGGCCGAGGTTCGTACTCTGGAACCACTGGAGTAGCTGGGGAGAATCTTAGGACCGATTCTACTGGGGTGGGAGGAACTTCGTAGCGTTGAGCTTGGGGGTTGAATACGAGCCCGGAACCAGTATAATTAATTTCAGCTCCGATGACGGGTTCTCCTCCAGGAACTGGTATGGAATGAACAGGGGGAGGTTGTATAGGAGGGGGGTAGAAGCCATGCGGAATCATTTGAGGAGGTGGATAGGTTTGCTGTGGATCGGGGTGACTGCTCGCTGGGGGTAATAAGTTAGGGGGCGGCTGCGAATATAACGGTTCTCGGGTGGTGCGAACGGATGGCGGATGGATCTCAGGCTGATGAGATCGATTTTGATGCTTGGTCAATGTCGTTTTTCGGCAGAAGCTGGAAGATACGATCAGCTTCTTCCTATTCAAAGGTTGACGAAGGGAGGGGAAAGTTTACCTTCGCCCACACTCAGACTCCAAGCACTTATATGGTCGCCTGCCGGTATGTATTCGTCTATGACGAGCTAGACTCGAGGACTAGAACCGAAGTTAATTCCATTCTCGGCCAAAACGGAAACGACGCAATTCAATCCCACACACAAAGATTAGGGTTGCGTGAAATGCTTCGCAGCATCTATCTAGGTCATGGTGCAAATGGTAGGTAGCTGGCAACGCCCTGAATGTTAACATACATCAGAAAATGCTTTACTGCAGCTCTCATGGTCGCATACATGGGGCTTCTCTCCAGTATGGGTGCGGGAATGGACAGTCAGGGCAGAGCGTTGGATAAAGCTTTTTGTACAATCTGGGAAACTGCACTTATAAGGTCGTTCGTTCGTATGTATTCGGTAGTGCCTGCACAAATCCGACTTTCGGTT